AAATGTTTGAAATTCAAACGGTGGCAGATATACCCCACCCGTGCGAGACATCGATAGGCCACGAATTTTTTCAATGAGATAATTTAGCAGGTACACGTATGACGCGACTTGAAACTTAAATGAGACCAGTGTGAACGACGTGTCATATCCGAAGCAACGATAATGATCCTTTTAGGCGAATACCTGGTGCGAGAAGCGTACGGCTTTCGAAACCTTGGCATCCACGATCATCAACTTTCTTTCGCCATCCTCCTCCACCACTTTGATAAAATCGGGTATAAATGGTTTCAAACGTACCACGCCTTTTATACCCAAATCCTCATATAAATCTTCGGGCACTTCCAATTTCAGTTGATAGAAGACCTGTCCAATCTGAGAATTCCTTAAAATGTCACGAGATTTGGATGAATCCGACCCTCGACAATCGATAACATTAGACAATCTTTCCACAATTTTTTTCTCGAATTCGCTTCCTCGACGCGTAAGCACCTCGCGCAATGCAGATTCATCGCTCGCGTGAGTATACGATTTCCTTTTGTCGCTCCTCTCTCTTTTGTGATACTTTAGCGAAAGATTCTTCAAAAGTTTATCGCAATTGAAGTGATAGTATAAGGAAATCTCCGATATGGTAAGCAAGGGTGCCTCGGTTTCCCTTTCTTTCGACGGCCTTGCCTAAGGAAAAAAATTTGGAAAAATCGTCTACGATTAAAAATGATCAACCGAGATTCCGCAATGTCAAAGCAATTTTACAAACCGGAAACATTTCTCTTTTTTGAGGGAGCGTGCGTGTATATACTGTACGTGTTGCGTGTTGCGTGTGCGTGTGCGTGTGTGTGTACAAAATAATTATGGCTTTGAAATTAATTGATCGCCAGGTCGATCCTTTATTAGTCATGTGATGAACATGCACACCGATTTCTCCGAAGAAAATAGATAGAGATCGGAAGATTTGAAAAGTTGCTTGTGAGAAAGTTGAACACAGAGATATGGCCGCCACATTACCCGATCTTTGTTTTGAGGAAATATTCAGTCACTTCAAATATGACTATTCCATTTTATATAAATGCCTCCTAATAAACCGAGTTTGGTGCAGAAATGCGGTCCCACATCTTTGGAGATGTCCGTTCCGACAGTCTTTACCTACACTCAATGCACACCACCTGATAAGGACGTACATTTCCTGTTTAGATGACACAGAGCTCAGTCTACTCAGTTCATATGGTCTCATAGTCACCGAAAAGAATGCGGCCTTTGAATATGGAAGATACCTGGAAGAATTATCGTTCTGTTATTTGAATGATGCAATTCATAGTTGGATGGTGTTCAAGGTAGACTTTTGGAATTATGAGACCATATCCCGTCCAGTAAGCACCGCAATTTGTCATATGTTCATGCGACAGAGAGCAAAGGTGAAGAACGTCAAATTGTCGTGTCACGAAATGACCATTGGAAAATTTCCGGAACCTAAAGCTTTCTCGGACAATTGGCGAGGTTTGAACAAAGTGCGGAGCCTGGAGTTATGTATAGACCGATATTGCCTTTTCAACAAATCAGAATTTCCATTGGGCTTTCTATTTCAGGTGGTGAAATCATGCACCAGCATTTCGCACATGAGAATAAATATGAATTACAATTGTCACAAACTTTTGTCGGACGTGATAGGTGAAATCATACGAGTTCAAAGAAACCTCGAGGAATTCGTCCTGAGCGAGACCTTGAGTGTTGTGACAGCATCCATAGTCTATGCACTAGAATCACAAACACATTCGTTGACATCATTAAGATTTAATAATGTGATCTTCGGAGGAGTGTCTCTGCATTGGCTAGAACGATGCAAAAAGCTGAGAACATTGTCGCTTCTAAAGTGTAGCGGACAAATGATGGAGTTGAATTTATCATATATAACATTTCCCATTAAAAATTTGGAATTAGTGTGCGATAGGGCCAACACTAGAGCGACCAAAATAGCGGAAATTATTCGAAACGTTGGGGAAAATCTAGAGACACTTAAATTGAACATAGTGGACCGATCCACCATGAATGCAATTTCCGTGTCGTGCCCGAATCTCGAGATTCTCGATGTCGAAGTTCCCGAAGAGATGTACGCAATTGCAAAGTTGTGGATAGGTAATCTGGCGCTCAAGACCTCAAACTTGCATTGCGAAGACACTTACAGTGACGATGATGAGATGGACACCAAATACATTGTGTGAACTGCAATTTTAACCTTTGAAGGAGAAAACTTGATATATATGATATTTGCTCAAAACTTTATTAGATATGAGCATATTTCTTTTTGTAAAATGTGCCAAGTTGGATTGATTGAATTTTTTTCCTTTTTCACCTTCTCAATCAGACTCGCAAGATTACGAAATCACCCGTCATCCCACTTTCAACCACTTGCCCGAAAATGCAAATAGAACTACATTTAGACTATTTTAATTTTTAAATATCACTCGTTTCACGATAACCATCATCATCAAAAAAAAGAAAGTATCGTTAAAAAAAAATAAATAAATAAGTAAATTAACAAACCGAAGTTATCGGGCCAATCGTCAATGTCGTTAAACGAAGCATTCGTGATGATCGTCGCCGGCTGGATAACGATTGAAAAACGACGCAGATATCCGATATACTGACATTACGAACTACCGCATTAAAAAAAAGAGGAGGGACGAAAGCATCTATTCGTTTTTTGTTTTTTTAGACGAAGCGGAATTCTTAAAATAGACGGGGAGGCTTATCATCATAACATTGATGATTATCACACTGTGCAATCTATGCACTAGATGATTTGCCTACAAACTATGTACTGTATATATATATATATATATACAGTATATACGTATATATATACTGTATACACGTCATGATGGAAAGAAACGCAATGCGCATCGTCTAGATCTCTACAAATTACTTCTTTTTTTTTTTTTTTTTTTTAAAAAAAAAAAAAAGGATTTATTCATAACAACAATGAACTCATTTTGTCAAAGATATCAAAGTATTCTAATAATAATGGTAACGGTAATAACTGTAATAATAAATAGCGGCAATAAAAATGGCAAAGATAAATATGAACATCTATCGCCAAGAACTTCTTCTTATTTACAGACAAAAGACCCAAACTAATTGAATGCAATTGCGGATGAAACACAGACAGGCGGCGAGGAACACGACACCCGCCATTGGAGTTCGCCGGTACGCATTATATACAATCTCAATGAAGGCGGTGTCGTGAAAGTAGCGTAATATAAACAAGTATTATTTTCACACACGATGGAAATTAAAATACAATGAAATATGTGGAACCGTAATACCGCAAATCCCGACAGGTCATACCTTCCATGCCACGGAAATTTTGGTGGCATACCCATCCCGTTTGGTTTCAATTTTTTTCATCCCCCATCCCTTTTCCTCGCTAACTTTTTTAAAGAGTTCTCGACTATCATAAGAGTGATGGCTGGAATAGATTAATGATTCAAGTTTCACCTCGCATTTTTGCAAAAAACATCTAAAAATGTCCTCGCAAATTTCAAATTGCGTTAGATTCAAATGGCGCAAACTGTTCGGAAGGATTTTTGCCATCTCCAAAAGCAGATCGCCTGCCTCCTGACGATGTGATACGGTGAAAATTTCCCTGACTTCATCGTCCTCTGCTAATATCTCTAATCTTTGCAGGTTCTTTGCATTACGAAGGATCGACAGAATCTTGTTTCCATCCTCGCTCTTTGTTATATGGGTGGTGAATGAGGTGAAATTATGACAAATTTGTGAGATGGCCTCAAGAAGAATTGAATGATGAGGCACACCCCTGATACAAAGGCTAAGGTTTCTTAAATTCGAAGTTACCCCGGTGTTTTGAAATATTTGGATATAGGGATTTATGTAGCCCCGTCGATCCTCCAAGCTAATGAATTGTAGGGATTCCAGTTTCGGAAATGTGGCAAAATAGAGTGGAAATATCTGTTCCACGGTGAAATTTTGTCCTTTAAAGTGAAGCTGCTCAATGTTCGAACACCTGGTCAAAAACTCCAACTCCCCGATACCATTGATCATCGTAAATCTCTCGAGGGAGTTGATATGTCCGAAAAGGGCGCTCAGAGTCCGTGAAGTATCCTCATTCTTGAACCATTCGAGCCTTAAGTGCTTCAGCTTGCTTTGTGACGCGATCAGAGTTATCAAATCCTCATGCCAATCATCCGAATTCTCTCCTTGACAAAACGACAACGAAACCAAATTTCTCGCATGTTTTGATAGTTCCGAAAGAATCCCAGACAAAGAAACATTTCCGCTGCATTCAAAGTGAATTAAGCGTGAAAAACGACGACCCGTTTCCGGTGTTGCAAAAAATTTCGCGACATCATTCTTGAAGAAATCGTAAATGATGGTATCAAGGTTCTTGCCCATGTTTATCATTAAAACTTCAATGTTCTCGGAGATTGTGATGATGGAATTTAGAATCGCCATAACAAGATCATTCCGTTTAACATAATCCACCGAGATTTCTTTCTTCGTCCTCTTATAATAAAGTTGTGAGGTTTCACTGATCGGAGGATACTTGGCGATCCATTTGGTAACAGCCAATATAAGATTATTGAAATCGAGATGTCGTATGAACGAAGGGTAGTAAAAAGAATGTTTCGGCAACTTAACAATGCAGGTGTTATCCATCTGGAGCTCCTCTTTTATCTCGGGTGGTAAAAATGATAGGAAAATTGGTACTATTCTATAAAGATTTGTCCTTTGAGGGTCTCGACGAAGAGGTTCCCTCCATAAAATAGGCATTGCATTTTTGCACCAAGTACGAGAGACCAATGTTGCTGAATGAAGTGTAAAGAAATCTCCTTCGAGAGAGCTAAATATCTCTTGGAGACACTCGTTGGGTAAGACCGCGGACATAACGTATGTATTGTACGTATTACGAGACAATTTCTAACGGAATTATTTTTGTGTGGGCGTAATAAATTCAATGGATGTTGCACGTGACTTTTTACATCACGCGAATCGCTGAATTTATGTAGAATCTATTCCTAAATACACAGTATGTACAGTATGCGTATATCACGGCATGTCTTTATTGAAATATTAAATAAACATTTGCAATTTTAATTGATTGTTTATATGGTAACTAACTTGTCATTGTGACATTGTTATTTTAAAGAATTATATTACTTAAAAATATAAGAAGATAATTTTGAACTAAACAAAACAAAATTTCAACTAGATACTTTAAATTAAATTTGAAAAACAATATTTTATTCTCTTGAAAAATTGGTATTAGATCTTTATCTATTAGGTTCAATTTCAACAATCTATCACTATTGGTTATTTTCAAAAAAAATACCAAATTATTAAATTATAAAAACCTTTTTTCAAAAGAAATACAGTTGTTTCCAAAAGTTTAAGTCCACTTACTATGTTTTTATTATAAATTTCAACTTTAACAATTTTTAAATATTTAATTATACAATCAAAAATTATAAAATTTATATATATTATATCTTAATACTAGTTCTATTTATTATATTTTTTTTCAAAAATTTTTGATATATAATTTTTAAAGTTTTATTATTGTTAAAAATTTTTTTTCTTTATCAAATTTTTATTTTTGAAGAATTTTGATTGATTGTTATTGTAAATCATGTGATAATTAATAAAAAAAAATAAGAATATTTGGCAATAATAAAACTTTAGAATATATTAATAAAAAAATTTTTAAAAAAATTTTTAAAAAAAATATAAGAAATAAAATAACTATTAAGATATAATATATATAAATTTTATAATTTTTGATTGTATAATTAATGATTTAAAAATTGTCAAAGTTGAAATTTATAATAAAAACATAATAAGTGGACTCACTTTTAAAAGCAACTGTATATCTAATTATAATATTCTTTTTACTTTTACCAATCAAAATTATATTATTTAAATGTTAAATTATTGTTGAATTTAATTAAATTTATTAATAAAAGCATTAATTAAATATTAAATTTAATAAAAAATTTGATACAAAGTTTAATAAAAAATTTATAAATATATTATAACAAAAAATTTAATAAAAATTATAAATTCAATATATTGTGACAAAAAATTTATTTAATTAATTTTTAAAACTTGTAATAAAATATAATAATATTAAAATTTAATCGATATTTTGAAGGTTAATAATTTTTAACAAATTTCATAATATTTATTATAAAATTATAAAATATCTGAATTAAATTATTTGTTATTTTTTCATTTAAGTACAATTGAAAAGGTTTTTACTTTATCTACTAACAAAATAATAAATTACTCTCAAAGTTATACTTAAAATTTTAAGAAAATATAAATAAAAACAAATAAATTAAATAGAGATTTAATTTTAATAAAATATTTTATAATATATATATACAGTATATATATTTTTAAACTTGTAATTAGATCAGTATTATATGTTTATTAATCAGATAGAGATACATAGGACAATTGCATCATGGTTAAACTAAAAATTTGTATTGATATACTTGTCAATAACTTTCAATTCTCAAAAGAGCTTTGATCTCTAAATACAATCTTGAAGATAATATTTTGTTATGTAATAGATTTTGGATAAATATTACCTAATTTACCTATTATTATTAGTAGATTATCATTACCTATTATTCTCCAAGAAATTGTTTTTGAGAAATTAAAAAAGAAAAAAAAAATAAAAGGAAAAAAGAATATTTAAAACTGTACAAGTATACTATATAAAAAAGAAAATAAAAAAATAAAAATAAAAATAATCCATATTTTTTAAATAATCTTTGCTGAAAATTTTTTTTTATTAAAAATCAATCCTTTTGAAATATCTTTTTTTTTCTAACCATCTGAAGAATTTATTTATCTGTACTCTTAATTATTTTCTTGTGATCATCTAAGATACTTATCACTTATTCAAATCTAGTATTTTATTCAATACTTTTTTTCTTTCAATCTTGATTTTGTATTCATATGTATAGAAGAAAATGAACAATGATAGACTTCAGATTATTATATGACTTTTTAGTCTTATTATATAATTCCTAATATCTTCTAGCAGTCACATCTAGTTAAAAAAATTTTACTAATGTTTATCTTAATTATAATATTATTATATAATATCTGAGGAAATACATTCTCAATCTTAGAAAAAAGCAGTATTTACATTTTTCCACTTTTTAGTCTTATAGCCTGACTGGGATAAAGAAATAATCTTCTTTATATACTTTGCCTAACTAGACTACTAAGAAGTTAAAAGTCTTAATTTGAATAAATAATCATCTTTTCATTACCTAAAGAATTTAGTATCCATTTTAATAGTTTTATTATTTTTTTATTTCAGTTATATTTCATTTGGAGAAGTAAAGAATTCATATTAATGATTTTTCTTTCTTTTACCAATGATATTATTAGAATATGTGATATAATCAATAAAAGCTTGTTTACATTCTACTACTAATGTATTTCATATTAATCAATTACCTTTAACAAAAGCTATATCAATTTTATATCACTTCAAAATTCAGGAACAAGCTAAAGTAGACAAAATTTCTCAAAAACTCTGAAAAATAATTGATTCTAAGAGAATAGAAACAGTAAGAAGGAAAGTTTTAAGATTTAAGTTTTTGTTTATCTATCCATCCATTGTACAAAATCTCTAGTTACATTCATACTTCAGGAGATAAACTTTTAGTACTTCATTAATAGTTTTTTTTTCTTTTAGAACTTTCTTGTTATAGATAAAAAAGATGTTTTTTAACTTTTTTTGATTACTGAAAGTCAAGTTTTGTTTGAAAAGGAATATAAATAAAAGAGAAAAGTTAAGAGAAACTCTTGAAATTATTCTTCAAGTTGTTTTAAGAAAAGTAATAAGACTTTATTAACAAAAAAGTATAAAACTTCTTTGCGAACATCTTTTTTATATATTGTTAAAAAATCAATAAAAAGAGTTTTTAATATTTTATAATATATAATATTTAAATATTTAATAAAATATATATATTTGATTTAAAAAAATTTTTTTTTAAAAAAAAAACTATTTGTTATTTTATTTATTTTATTTTATTTATTTATAGATTTCAGCTTACTGTAACTTTTTTGAAACTTATTTAATTAATTTTATCTTGTTAAATTTTATTAAAATTTTTATACTAGTCATCATTCTTTCCACTGACCCTTTGACCACATATAAAAAAGGTATTCACAAGAAGTGATTATACTACTTTGCTAAAAAAACCTTAACACTTTTCTTAAACCAACTTGAGAAGAAACTCAAGAGTTACTATCATGCTTTCCTCCCTCAAGTAAATATTCTTCTTCACACAAAATTATGACTTTCATTGATTCAAATCATGAAACACCTTTCTTATCAATGGCAAAAAAGTTCTGAAAGAAAGAAAAACTAAAGTGCTTGGTCCTTCCACTTAGTAGAGAAATATTATAGAGCTGTGTTTATGATTAGAAACTATTTAGAACATACTTACCTACTCTCTTGTTATGATAAATACTCTAATAGTACTCATTCTTGATTTTTCTGAGGAATTTTACCTACCTCAGTTTGACCCTGAATTTTAAGTAGCACAAAATTTCTCGCATAGTAATTGGACAAAAGAATACATATCAGTAAAAGAATGTAAACAAGTTCCTATTGATCATTCCATATGTCTCAAATGTATTTCCTTAGTTATATAAAAACCTGGGATTCACCATAAGTCATTGGCTCTGGTGCAGATAAATATAGGGTACTCTATCATACAAGTCATTCACCATCTCCAGAAAAAGTCCATCCAATCATAGTAAAGATTACAAGATATTGTATCTAATTTTTGAAGATGCAATTACCTATTTCTAGTTATCAAATAGGTTTCCCTAGCTTCATCGAATAGATAAAGATTTGAAGATAGGGTACTAGTTTCTCTATCTATTCCGTGGTTCAGTTTTTAGGACACAGAGAATAGAGTATATAAATAGTAGTCTTTACTGTACTATTATACAATGACAAGGATCAAAGAAAATAGTTTGTGAATCGGCCTATTAATATCAATACATATGTCTCTACCCCAACCTTTTCCCATTTCTAAATGAGATTGAATCCACCTTTCCTTTTTCTATATCTCCTTAAGAAAGTGACTCAGTAGTTATCCTAAAGATTCCACCCTTCCTACTGAACATTAGTATCTTACTCCTGTGTATAATCTGTACTGATGTTTTGAAAGCTTTTGCAAGGAAACACAAGTCAGCTTTCAAAGGTAATAACTGAGATTCCTAATTTTTTAAGAACCTAGATAAAGGCATCTGAAACACAATTAATATTGCATAAAAATTATTGGAGAATCTGAAATATAATTAAATCACACATTGATGTTTCACTATCATATATGAATAGGTATTTGGCACCACCTGAGAAGTTTTAATAAATACCCTGAACAAAATTTTCTTCTTCCTATATAAGTCATATAGCAAGAAATTGTATACAGTTGCTTCCAAAAGTTTGAGTCCACTTACTATGTTTTTATTATAAATTTCAACTTTGGCAATTTTTAAATC